TATTCCTAATTGCTTTGTTTGCCTAGTGTTTGGGCCTAAGCTACTTTATTTTTTTTTAATACATTTTATTGATTTTTTTATAGAGAGGAAGAGAGAGGGATAGAGTTAGAAACATTGATGAGAGAGAAACATCGATCAGCTGCCTCTTGCACACCCCCCACCGGGGATGTACCCGCAACCAAGGTACATGCCCTTGACCAGAATCGAACCTGGGACCTTTCAGTCCAGAGGCTGATGCTCTATCCACTGAGCCAAGTTGGTTTCGGCTGGACCTAAGCTACTTTAAAATTCTTTTGAAGTAAGCAGGTATTTATTATCCTGACTGTTTGGTAAAGGAATAGGAGCTGGACTGCTCAAGAACCTCTTTTCCAACCACTGCCTAGAATGGTCCAAGGAAATTTAGTTCTAAATGAGTTTATATTCCCAGTGGCCTGTATTCTCACATATTGACAGTTTCAGTGTGAGAATATTCTCATATTCTTGACATCAGCTACTCTGCACATACAATTAACAGCTTTCCAGTATTTTTTAAGTTGTGACCTTTGATTTGCTTTTCTTCAGAAGGTATTATCTGGAAACAAATCTTTATTACTTCCTATCCTTTGATGTTATATGGGCAAATTTTATAGCTTGATATTACTCTTGTTTAAGAACTTTACAATGTAATTTAGACATGTTTTTATTGTTAAAAGTGAAGAAAGGATTTCTTTAAGGGCTTGCTGTTCCATTAGGTGAAAGTGGCAGTTATTTAACACCATCTAGATGGTTCTTTAGTAAAATTTAAGAAAAAAAAATAAGGTCTCAATTCTTGAGAAACCAGGTGATCTTTTAAGGTGACCTATAATTAGAACATCTTAATTAAAAGATATTTGAAACCATCATTTTGTCCTAATAGGCTTTGCCAGTTCTGGCTAGTCACTTAGCTTGGCCCAGTTTTCTATTCCCTAATTTTAGCTACCTGCTGATTTATGTAATTACGTTGGGGTCATGTGATTTTTTTTTTTATTTTTATCCTTAAGATCAGTGACTTGGCTCCTAAAATAGCTGCACAGTTATGAACTACATGGAAAATCAACTGATTTTCAGAAAAATTCTAGGATCTGTTAGATCTGACCTGAAGGTTAAGTTGTTAAGCTGTCTGAATGGATTTCCAAGTTTCAAGACAAATACCCTCATTTATATTTCTGTCAACTCAATATCATAAGGAATATAGAAATGTGGAGGCCCTCTGGAAATTGTGATCATTCTCACACACTATTCTGGGAGGTAAATTTCATGTTGAAGAAGATACATGCAGTGATGGGTCCTTTATCTTCAGCCTCTTGTAAAGCATTTGAGTTTTTGCCCTAAAATGAACTTTTAATACATTTTCAGATATTATAGAAAGAAACAACGAAGCAAGAGGTTTTACCATCATTATAGTTCCTCAGTACAAAGTAGAGGAAAATTTAAACAGTTTTTATCCCTTTGAGTATCAGTTAGAGGAGTGGGTTGTATCAGAGCCTTTCAGAAAAACATGACAGACTTCTTGATTCATTTTTCAAGTTACTCGATAAAGGATTTTTGCAAATACCTTTAGAATCCCTTAAATATCTTAGGAGAATAGAAAGAGATCATAAGCTATTACTCTAGGCCAGTGATTCTCAACCTTTCTAATGCTTCAGCCCTTTATATAGTTCCTCATGTTGTGGTGACCCCCAACCATAAAATTATTTTTGTTGCTACTTCATAACTGTAATTTTGCTACTGTTATGAATCGTAATGTAAATATCTGTGTTTTCTGATGGTCTTAGGTGACCCTGCTAGTGGTTCTCAACCTGTGGGTTGCGAGCCACAGGTTGACAACCGTTGCTGTAGAGACATAAGATGGCAAAAATGTGTGCCAAATCTTGTAAGCCCAATTAAGTTGGGCTGTTTGTTGTAGGCCAGTGACCCAGCCTCTCTTCCTTGTCTGACTGAAGATGATGACTTCTGTGATGACTCTTCAGTACTTATACCCTTGATGTTTATTTCCTGCTGTCCTCTACTGGTTTCATTTACATTTAAACATTTCTAGCAACCTGTAATCTTTTCCTTTTTTCCTTAAGAATTAAGCTAGTACACTGAGCAAATATAGAAACATTTTTATCCAGGTGTGCCTTGGAGAAGTTCTACATTTTCTGTAATTTTATTCATAGAAGCCAGATCCAAATTAAGAGCTTTTAGATCAGCTTAGAATGTAAAAAATCTGTTATTCCTAGAGTCTGTCTTTTTGAGATTCCTCTTTACTCTTAAGAATTGTCATTGTGCTTTTGGGGGCTGGAAAGTGAGGAAGTGTGAATATTTGATGGGTGAATAGATTCTGAGGAAAGGAAGAATGGCACCACACTGGTGACTACACATCACTAGGATTTTATTCATTCCCAGATCTGTTTGCCTTATAATATGTTTTCCAGGTTTTAAAGTAGCTATTAAAACACACACACACACACACACACACACACACACTTGTTTAAAAATAAAAAATAAATAAAGTAGTTCTTTATTAGGATTTTTCTTTTAGTTGAGGTCTTTGGAATCTTTAGGGCTATGTATTCACTTGCAAATTATCTATTAGTTATTGCTGACATCAAGTACTCTACCTTGTGGTTGCCTTCTAATCTCTGAGAAGGAGAATACAGACTGAAAAGTGCGTGTCCCACTCAAGAGGACTCTTAGGTTCTCTTACACGCACTGACCCAAATAATTCATCAGATTCTGTGAGTCTTGGCATCATACCACTTCTTTCAGACATTCCTTTTGTGAGGATGCACCATGAAATGTGAAAAGAACATGAGTTTTAGACTGCTTCAAATGTACATACACAATTTATTAACTCTGTGAAAATGGACAAATTACTAAATTTCCTTGTCAGTAAAATGAGGATAAGACTGGCTTTTATGGGGTTGCTGTGAGGATTGAAGAATATGTATAAAAAGTTTATAGCATAATTCCTTAATCTCCTTAGCCTTCCAAACCATTCAATTGCAGAACCCCAAACCTAAATCACTTAATACTTTTCTCTGTTCCTGCATCCTGGCTGCTAGAAATCTATGGTCCGTGATCTCAGCTGAGACCTTAGTATTGTCCCCCAGTTCTTTTATGTAATTTTAGTCAGTTTTCTTCCTGTGTTTATGCAAAGATCAGAAATTGGTTGCTCAGAAGAACTTGGTTCTATAGACATCTTTTGATTGGCCCTGAGATAGTTTTTCAAATTTTGGGATTGGTTGTGAGGATTTTAAAAGATTTTAAATAAAAGTTAAAATGTCCACAACTTCTTTTGAAAAATTGGATGATTTGAAAACCTGGCATGTCATGGCTGTCACTGTTTTCTTCCTTAAGACAGACCCATCCAGTTTTCCACATTGTCAGTCACACCCTATAGACTTTTACTAGTAATTTAGTAATGCATTTTTCTCGATGTAGTGGTCTCCTTTCTTATTCCTCTCCTCATTTAGATAGGAACTATCTTACACATCCTTGTATCCCCAATGACCAATGCAGATTGAGCATCTTAAATGCTTGACAGTCATGAATGATCAGCATCATTCATGACAGAAGATACTTAATTACTATTACTACTATTATTTTTAGGGAATTTAGAAGATGTAATAAAACCTTTTAAATTAACCCATCATTTAAAATTTGTCTATCTGTGATAACTACTCTTTAGTTATATGTTTTCCCCAAAAAAATGAAATAACTTCATTTCTGAGCGTAAGTGATATGTGCCTTTGTAGAAAATTGAAAGAAAACTAAAAGTATAAAGAAAACTCACTACTCAGAAATAACTAGTGGTGAAACCGGTTTGACTCAGTGGATAGAGCATCAGCCTGTGGACTGAAAGGTCCCGGGTTCGATTCCAGTCAAGGGCATGTACCTTGGTTGCGGGCACATCCCCAATGGAGGGGTGCAAGAGGCAGCTGGTCGATGTCTCTCATCGATGTTTCTAACTCTCTATCCCTCTCTCTTCCTCTCTGAAAAAAATCAATAAAATATATATTTTAACAAAAAGATTTAAAAAAAAAAAAGAAAGAAATAACTAATGAAGTGCTTTATATGTGTGCTACTCAGTTTTTAAATTTAAAATCTCACCTATAAATGAATCTTGTTTTAAAAACAGCACTAGAACATCCAGTTTAATGTAATGAAGTCACTACTTTTGTGGTTCAGTTGCAAGTAGTTTCTGCCTTAGATAATGAAATTGCCTTCTGCTGAGACAGCCATGTGCTCTAGAAAAGAAGCCTGAGATCCAATCTGTCAAGTTACCATGTAATTCCCTTCTTTACAGGCCATTCTCCAGGAATGGAGCAGTTTAAGTTTGGAGACGTAAAGCTAACAACCTATAAGAAAGGCATTACCATTTGTGGAAGCCAAGGATGCCTTCTTTAGGAGAACTTTTTGTTTATCCCTGGGCTTCTTTCCCATCCCAGATAGCAACTGACAAATTAACATGACATTTGGAGGAATATAGCTACCAGATTTTCTTTTTTGTGTATGCCTTCTTTTCCTTCTCTCCTTATATCAGATATCCCATTCCACTCTCCAGCCCCACCTCAACCCTATCAAGAATTATTTTACAGAAGAGACGTGTTCTTATGTATCTTTACCCCTTTTGTAGTATATTCTTTTGGTAGTCATCCATTTCAATTTTTGTGACATATCCTTTTCTGGGAAATATTGTTCTACATTCTATAAAGTGAATGTTTGCTACTACTAAACCCAATTTATATCTCACCTGTCATTCTAAAGTGGCAACAGATTTTAACTTACAGTGTGGATAGGCTGCTTGAATGAATGAAATTTGCTGTATTTGGGCTTCATCCTCCAATCCTATTCCTGTCTTTGGGAATGGTTGGAACATGGTCATCATTATGATAAATGTCTTTTATAGACAGTGTTTCTTTCTATTTCTCCAGTTTCTATCAGTTTTCTTCCTGAGTGTTATTTGCTGCCTGCTCTTACTTACTTTTTTATTTTAGATCACAGATTCTGCTGGCCATATTCTATACTCCAAGGAGGATGCAACCAAGGGAAAATTTGCCTTTACCACTGAAGATTATGACATGTTCGAAGTGTGTTTTGAGAGCAAGGGTAAGTAATCAGAGTGTTGTCTATCCTTGAATTAAGCATCTTCTCTCAAGTAAGAAAGAGCATGAACTTTCTCTCTTAGGCCAGCAGGAAGAGGAAATGAAAACTACACTTGCTGGGGTACACTCACATATAAGTGAAAGTATCATTCTTCATGTGCAGGAGTAGGCCCTTTCTAAATGCTGTGACACACTGGGCTTGAATGAAAAGAGTTTAATTTGTGATAGGTGCTAGAAAATATAGTAAGTCATCACTTAATGTTGGTTGGTTGTTTTTTAAATAAATTTTATTTATTTCAGAGAGGGAGAGAGAGACAGAAACATCAATAATGAGAGAGAACCATTGGGAGGCTGCCTCCTGCTAGTCCCCTGCTTGAGATCGAGCTCACAACCTGGGCATGGACTCACAACCTTCAGTCCCCAGGCCAACACTTTACCAACTGAGCCAAACCAGGGCTAATGTTATTAATTAGCTAGGGCTAATGTTATTAATAGGTTCTGCAACTTTAAGCAAAACGACATATAATGAAACCAGTTTTACCGTGTGATATAAACAAGAGTTGAGGACCTATGGCATCTCATCAACATTATCACAAAACTAGAGGACTGGTGCATGAAATTCATGCACTCGGGGGTGGTTGGGAACCGGCACCCTCTCACAGTCTAGGAGCCCTTGGGAGATGTTTGACTGCCACGGAGGTGGGAGAGACTCTCACCACCACTGCTGCTCTCGCCAGCCATGAACCCCGGCTTCTGGCTGAGCAGCGCTCCCCCTGTCATTCTGCCATTTGATCTGCATATTAGCCGTTTATTATATAGGATATAGCATAACATTGAATGAAATGTTATTCAGTATCCTTCAAAGTCCAAAGAAGTTTTGGTCTTCAGAGCACTTACTATTTTTTAGTCCTAATATCTTGCAATGGGAATCTTCTATGTATCTCAAGACCAAGATCCCATAGTAACTTTTAAGCTGATTACCTCGCAGTTTCTGATTATCAGTGGTGGGTGAAAAGACACATTCCCCTTCACTTCCTATTCTTTCACTCTAAGGACACTAGATTATAAAAGCTGTCTGTATTTATACTTGTTATATTATTTGGAACCCTTTTGGACTACAAGATACAAAAAACATAACTCAAATTGGCTTAAAGAGAAAGAAAAGGCTCAGCTGGCATGGCTCAGTGGTTGAGTGCCACTTATGAACAAGGAGGTCTCTGTTTGATTCCTGGTCAGGGCACATGCCCAGCTTGCGGGTTCGATCCCCAGTGTGGGGCGTGCAGGAGGCAGCAGATCAATGGTTGTCTCTCATCATTTAAGTTTCTATCTCTCTCACCCTCTCCCTTCCTCTCTGAAATTAATAAAAATATTTAAGAGAGAGAGAGAGAGAGAGAGAGAGAGAGAGAGAGAGAGAGAGAGAGAGAGAGGAAGACCATTTGACTCTAAACTGGGAAGTCTTAATGGTGATGCTGACCTCAGGCTAGGCTGGATATGGGGGTTTTAACAAGATTGTTGGAACTCCAGCTATCATTTAGCACTTCCTATCCTTTCTTTCATTTGACTTTATTCTCAGGCTTTCTCTGTATGGTACCAAAAGGACTCCTGGCAATTTCACATTTATAGAATGTTCAGAGTATCTGATCATAGAAGAAAAGCAAGCACTTTGGTCAACGACTCTGGTAGAGTCCCAGGAATAGCAGATCAACTTGGTACTTTTGACAGTTAACCAAGAATTGACTCCTTTGATCTAGAATGGGTCAGTTGAGCCTAAAAGCTAAGGTGTTTGCCTGAAGTAAATGGAATAATAGATTAAGAATAGAAAATTAAATACTTTAATAGCAATTTTGTGACTGATAACCTTTTCCCTGCCCCCACCCCTATTAATTTCAAAATGTCTCAACAGTAGTCTAGACATTTCGACATGGTTGTGCCATTCTTACTTCAAAACTAAGATGTCATGAACTTCTTTCAAACTAGTTCCCCTCTCTCATCAGTATTACCACCATCCTTCCAGTGACTTGGGCTCATATTTTTGAAATTATTTTTGTCTTTTCCAGTCTATCATCAAGTTATGTTGATACTTCTTACAAAATAGCTTCTGTATCTGTCACCACACAAATCTGAACTCTAATCTTTTAAATCATGAATTAGGTCATTAGCCTTGTAACTAATACTCCTGTTTTTAATACTGGTTCCAGATTTATCTCCCAAACATATCTTTCATTGTGTTAGTCCTTTTTCAAGAGCTTTCCCTTTTCTTTTTCTTTTTTTGGTAAAGAATTGTAAATTTATTAGATCAACTGGAAACCAGATGGGCTGAGCCCCAAAATGGTGCTTTCCTTTTTGGTAGCAGTACTATTCCTGATCTATAGAATGAAACCTAAATCATACAATTTTTGAACTGGGCGGGACTTAAGGGTCATGGTATTTAATAGTCCTTCTACTCTCACTCCAGCCTTATCTTCCACTACTCATCAGATCCCCAGCCAGTCTGGTTTACTCTGCCCTCTAAACATGTCACATTTACTCATTCACTGGAATGCTCTTTTCCCATTTAAACATGAGTTTACCTTTAGTTCTTTTAGAGTACTTTCCTCAACATTCTAGCCTTCTTAATTTCTCAGTCAGTTAATTGATTCATTTAGCAAATAATTAAAGTGCCCTATATATTAAGTACTGTTCTAGGTGTTAGGGTTATTAGCAATGAATAAAACGGAAGTCTCTTCTCTCTTGGACATTACATTTTCATTGGAGCAAACAGACAATAAACAATATAAGTCAGATGGTAATGAAGTCTTTGGAGAAAAAGCAAGCACTTTGAGATGCTGAGCTTGTCTCAGAAATAGCAAAGAGGTTAATGTGGCTTCTTTTAATAGTATATCACTTATTAATTATGTAGACACTTGAAGATATATTTGTAAAATTTAAGTATTTAAAAATATATACAGGGTGCCAAAAAAAATTTATACGCACTTTGAATGATTGTAAAGTCAGTGTTTAACATACAGTTCATTTTCAAAATATAAAAGAATCTACAGAAAGAAGTTTTTTTTTGTCAGTGCCTGTTTTCAAATGGTCCAAACACTGCATTTTCACTGTAACTTTTACTTGTGTTCATATCGAATTATAGGAAAGCAAAGATTATAATCTCCAGGACAGTTCTAGCACCCAGTGAGCTCTCAATGAGTAGATATTGCATTCACTTCAGCCTGTTTCAGAAAATCTCCAGTGCCTCTCAGGCTGCAGAAAGTACAGAACCTTTCTCTGTGGCTTTTGGTCTCAGGAGTCCCAATGCTTATGTGGTGCTGTTTCCCCAAAGTCCTAATTTCATGTAGGCTGTTTTTATTTTATAAATAATCAGGTGAATTCCAGGGGATTGAATTCCAAAGGACTGAGCAATTTTCTGGGGCTCTTGGAGTCTTCATTTCTCTTACTTGATGATATAAGATTAGAATTCCTTTTTGATCAAGCTATATCAGATTACCTTTTTAAATATGAACATGGTTCTGTTGGCCCTACTATACCAAATAGACATTTCTCTTTCTAAGAAGCATCCCTGAGAATTGTAGTCTTATTATCAAGTTTTTTCTTGGCTCTGTGGGAATAATTCTATAACATTTTGCTTATTTATTGAAATGGCCTTACATTTACCAAAATGTTTGAATTAAACTGAAATCTTAGATAAATCCTGTGTTCTTTTCAGTACTACTTTATATTAAGTAAATCCAAGCTTAACACATGCCCAATAACACTTTTCTTAAAATTTGACAGGACAACCTATTCAGGTGTGGAAATGTATCTTTTCAACCTAAGTTGGTCCCCACTGCTTGTTGGTCTATATATGCCACTCCGTTTTATACTATTTTGACTTTTGAGTTTTATTTCCTAGTCCAATAAGCCTGCGTGTTTTCTCTCCTTTCTATTCCTCTGTAGTTCCAGCGGCAGTTTCTGTCCTGCCTGCTTAGAGATGTTTGGCAGCAGCATGTTCTCTTTGCGGCTGCACAGAGGCTTTGTTTGGAATGCTTGTGATTTTAGCCAGAGCCAGGAATTTTCTGCAGCTGAGTAGGGGGAGGAGTTTGCATCTGTTTCCCTCTATTGAGGGGGGAGGTTTAGGGAGAGGGAGGCTGGGTGGGTGATTTCCCGGAATTTTAAATATTCCGCACAATGAATCCTTTGATTTCTTTCTCAGGAACAGGGCGGTTACCTGACCAACTCGTGATCCTGGACATGAAGCATGGAGTGGAGGCGAAAAATTATGAAGAGGTATGTCCTACTGTAACAGCCAGAGGAGGCTGTCATGTGCTGGGCCGTGAGGTTTCTGTGACCTACTCAGGCCAACTGGCTGTGCTTTGGCCAGAGGCTATGGTTTTCTCAGCAGTCATGTGACAGCCAGCTACAATTTTACTGATTAAAAAAAAAGTTGTATTAACAGCCCTAAACAATAACTAGCTGTGTTGTCAGCCAAATGACTAACTAAACCATCTGTCCTAAAGCAATGTTGGTGTGATAGAACACTCAAACATATGGCCTTAGCACTCTTGAGACAGAACATGGATTTATATATTTATAATTTTTAATAGCTGGAATTCATTTAAATGTTAATGTCCAAAGTTAAGAAAAATGATTTGTTTTTAAAACCTAAGACTTTTATTCCCAGACTGACAACTCTATACAGGGTGGGATAAAAGTAGTTCTGAGTACAGGAAATAGAGTTTCCTCTTTATTATCATTTATTTCTAATTTATATTTATTGTTGAAAATATTACAGACGTCTCCTTTTTCCTCCACTGACCCCTCCACTCTGCCCCCATCCCTCCCTCCATTATTTATTGATTACTGTATTTTCCATACAAACTACTGTAAACCTTCTTTTGTCCCACCTTATATATATCTAGGGCATGGTTTTTCAGCACTGTTTAGACTTGAGCAACTGTGCTACATTTGAGAATCAACAATAGTTCTAAATAGCTTTTAGGTAAAATGATTTCAGACTAAGGAAGAGAGAAAGATGGAAGAAAAAACTGCAAGGGACTAGGAATAGTGATCATGAGAAATTTTTACTGACAGGAATTATTATAGAGAATAAAATCTGACATTCATTTGGGTAGTAGGGAAGTAGAGGTGTGTATAAAACAAGGGGAAGGGGGACTGAGCTCTTTTCATCTCTATTACGAGACTTCAGGGGCGGCGCAAAATGGTTCTTCAAATCAAGAGCACCTTTGAAAAGCCACAAGAACTATTTAAGACCAGAGGATTGATCTTTACAGTAAGATAAGAGTATTTTTACCCAGATCAGAGTCTTTACAAACAGTATCTGTGGGCATGAAGAAGAGGTGGGGTACAGGAAATGTAAATAGCTTTTGAAGAATGTAAATAAAAATAAACAGGCTCAGTTGCTTTAAGTGATTTAAGAGAATTTTCTAGGAGGAACAGAATCAGAAAATTGCTCTAGCTTTCGTCAGGATTTCAAACAGAATATCCTAAAATGGAAGAAGATTGCAAGTGACTGATTCTGCAATAGGAAGTAGTAGTACAACGGTTGCAGGACTTCAGGTCTTTTTTTCCTTAGTTTAAGCGTTCAACTGAACAAAACTAGATAGAGTTTTTGTAGGCAGTAAACAGGAGCAAGTATGCAGTAGTGAAGGGAAGACAATTCCTGATACTTTGATTTGCTTGTTTCTGTCTCCAAGCTAGATTAGTTAAAAGAAACAAAGCAAGAGACTCTGTTTGATGAACTTAGAGTAAAATGGGACCTCAGTTGTGTGCCTCTGCCAGCAAGGACTCCCTTTGAGCCTCACCTCGCTTCCTGAAGCTCTGCCTCCACCCGATCCCTCCACCCACCCACCTTTCTGTGTGCCAGAGGTAAAGGATTCATCCTATGGTAACATCGAATGTTCGCCAACCAGAACCTACACTCTTTCAATTCCTTTGCTGATGCAAGTAAAGGTGCTGATCTGCTTTCTGCTGGCACTGAGGATTATATCCATATAAAATTTAACAGAGAAGTAGCAGGAAGACCCTTTCTACTGTCCAAGGGATCTCTGATGATTGCAATCAAAAGAAACTAATGAAGGTGTTTAAGGAGAAATTTGTCTGCAATGGTACTTTAATTGAGCATCCAGAATATGGAGAAGTAATTCAGCTACTGGATGACAAGCGCAAGAACATACATCAATTCCTAGTAGAAGGTTCATGGGTTTTAAGTGCTTTTGGCTCACTGAAACTAAAATGAGGATTTCCTTGCAATGAATAGAATTTCCCTTCTCTCCCTTGTCACAAGTTAAAAACCTCATAGCTTATGTAATGTAACCATTTGGGGTCTGCTTTTAACTTGGACTAATGTAACTCATCCATGCAATAAACTGAAAAGAACCATACCAAAAAAAAGTAAAGTGAAAAATCCTTTTAAACTTTCATGATTTAGAAGAATCTTATTTATATTTAAATAAGATAACATATATTAGAGTGCTGTTGTAAGGTATAATATAAAAAACTAATAAGTTTAATTATGAGGTGGAAGAATAGGTAAAATGATTTTCAGGTTTTGAGTACTGCTGCTGTATCCTCAACTTCAGACCATTCTGTAAACAAGCATTCATTGAATTCCTACTATGTGGAATTTCCATTATCCTTGGACTTTGTTGACCCTGGGAAAGAGCCATTATCTTTGCTGACCTTTTGCTTAACCCAAGAGGGGATTCCCTAGCAGAAAGCAAACCACAGCTCTTCCTTTGCGCCGTTTCCTGGTGTGGAAGTCTGGCACGTCCTAAGCATTTCTTTACGCACATGGTTACAACATAGTTCTAAATTACTGTTTCTTAACCAAAAAACTCCACCCACTACTTTCTTTGGCAACGTCAAACCTCTCCCCCCCCCCCCCCCCCCAAAAAAAAAAAAGGCAGATCTGCCAAAACCGGTTTGGCTAAGCGGTAGACTGAAAGGTCCCAGGTTCGATTCAGGTCAAGGGCATGTACATAGGTTGCGGGCACATCCCCGGTAGGGATTGTGCAAGAGGCAGCTGGTCGATGTTTCTCATCGATGTTTCTAGCTATCTCTCTCTCCCTTCCTCTCTGTAAAAAATCAATAAAATATATTTTTTTTTAAAAAGAAAGTCTGAGATGGAAACAAACATTTGTAGGGAAGAGAAGAGGTGCTAACTTTAGAATGATCGAAGAGTTTTAAAGTTTGGTAAAATATTTTAAAAGACTCGTCTTATGTTCTTGACCAGAGCTATTTTTTTTTTTCAGGGAGTGGGTTCATGATTCCTTTCTTTTTCCAGATTGCAAAAGTTGAGAAGCTCAAACCCTTAGAGGTAGAGCTACGACGCCTGGAAGACCTGTCGGAATCTATCGTTAATGATTTTGCCTACATGAAGAAACGAGAGGAGGAGATGCGCGATACCAATGGTGAGGGGTGGGCAGCTCTTGTTTCTCAACAAGAGAACCATAAAGGAATCAGATCATCAGACTTTAAATTCTGTGTACCCTTTTCTCAATTTTGCCAAGGGTGGGGGGAAGGGTGGTGTGTGGAAAGATAATTAACTTCAGTGTTGCTGCTACAGGTAAATGAGCCTTGTTTGATTTTCAAAGAAATAGAAATTGCTTCCATGATATGTAGTTGACAATATTCTCAGTTAGCTTACTGTGTATCAAATTGATAGGGCTAATCTTTGCAATTTTTTTTCCTTAAATATATTTTACTGATTTTTTTACAGAGGGGAAGGGAAGAGGGATAGAGAGTTAGAAACACTGATGAGAGAGAAACATCAATCAGCTGCCTCCTGCACACTCCCTGTTGGGGATGTGCCCGCAACCAAGGTACATGCCCTTGTCTGGGGTCGAACCTGGGACCCTTGAGTCCACAGGTCGATGCTCTATCCACGGAGCAAAACCGGTTAGGGCTAATCTTCGCAATTTTTAACATTTATATATAGAATAATGAAAATTTTAAGAAAAAGCTAACTGAAATCCTATTGTTAAGCCTGGGGACAGAGTGAAGTTAATGAATTGCCTTTCCTCCCTGGCCATTGTTTAGCCAGCTGCACTTTATTTCATTATTTCATTTACAATGTTTTTGTTTTTGTTTTTTAGAATCAACAAACACTCGGGTCCTATACTTCAGCATCTTTTCAATGTTCTGTCTCATTGGACTAGCCACTTGGCAGGTCTTCTACCTTCGCCGCTTCTTCAAGGCCAAGAAGTTGATTGAGTAATAAGGCCTACTCTCCTCCCACCTTGTATCTCAGCCAGCAGAACATCACTAGAACGTGCCTGGCCTAAGGCTTCCTATCAACAGCACCACAAAGGCACGTTGGAACTTACTTGCCAGAACTGATGGCTCTTGGTGTGGGAGGACATGGGTTACCACCTACACCCAACAAGACATTGAGGGACTTCTTTTTAACTTGACAGGATTTGGACTGGTTTTGCAACAATAGGACTTAATAGAGTCACCTGAGACAAAAAATAGGGGTTACCTAGATAATGCCAAAGCCAGCATTTGTACTGGGTTTCCTCATGTGATCTGTTTGAACCATGCTTTCTTTCCTTCTCCCACTTGCTCAGCAGCTTGAGTTTCACTCTAATTTCTTTACCAAGATTTGAATGACCATGTGAAACTTATTTCATTCTCATTGTCCTCTTTGGATTTCTGTGTGAAAACACCCGTAAGTTTATCTTAACCATTAGCTGAAATGTTTCAGTAGCTCCTGGAGGTGTCCTTTCTTAATTTTATGTCTTGTAAAAGGGTAATGGATGTGACACCTCATAGAAATGAGCTTTGAACTATAGATAACTCTTTAAAAAATTTTTCATTTTAGAGAATTAAAACATTTGTGCTCAACTGCTTGATTTTTCTTTTTGTGTATTTATGTGTATTTAGTTCTATGCCGTTTTATTACATATTAAATCCATGTGATCACCACCACAAAATGCAGAACAGTTCCTCCACAGGGATTCCTTGCTACCCTTTTATAGCTACAGCCACCTCCCTTCCTTACTCCCAAGCCCCAACCTCAGGCAACCACTAATCCGTTCTCCATCTCTCTAATTTTGTCATTTCAAGAATGTTATATAAATCAGCGGTCACCAACCTTTTGAATCACCAGTTGGCAACCACTGATATAAATGGAATTATATAGTATGTAACCTTTCAAAATTAACTTTTTTTTTTTTTTAATCCTCACCTGAGTATATTTTTTCCATTGATTATTAGCACGGAAGGGATGGAGGGAGAGAGAGAGAAACATTAATGTGAGAGAGACACATCTATTGGTTGCCTCCCACATGTGCCCCAATTGGGGCCAGTGATCAAACCTGCAACCCAGCTCGTGCCCTTGTCCAGGAATCAAACCCTTGACCCTTTGGTGCAAGGACTGACATTCTAAACATTGAGCAATACCGGCCAGGGTGAGATTAAATTTTTTCACTCAGCATAATGCTCTTGAAAATAGTTCGTTCCTTTTTATTGCTTATATTTCATGGTACTGATGTACCACAGTTTGTCTATCCATTTACCCATTGAAGGACATTGGGGTCATTTTCAGTTTTGGGCCATTACTAATCTTCTGTGAAGTTCATGTACAGGTTTTTATGTGTACATAAATTTTTTCATTTCTCTTGGATAAATGCTCTCAAGAGGGCAATTGCTGGGCTGTATGGTAAGCATATTTAATTTTTTTTAAGAAACCGCTCTACTCTTTTTCTAGAGTGAGTGCCATTTTATTTATGTTCCCACCAGCAATGTATGACCAATTCACATCCTCACCAGTATTTGCTGTTATTTTTATTTTAGTCATTCTGATAGTTGTCCATAATGAGACCTCATTATGATTTTTACTTGCATTTTTCTAATGGCTAATGATGTTGAACATCTTTTTATGAGCTTATTTGCCATATATAGCTTCCTCAGTGAAATATCTGTTCATGTTCTTTGCCCATTTTCTAATTAGATTATTCTTTATACTAATGAATTTTGAGCATTCTTATATATCCTACATACGGCCTCTTTGTCAGATATGTGGTTGCTTGAATTTTTAACATAACAGGTACCAAGGAAAAAAATTAGAAAATTTACCAAGTCTTATATTGCCAGCCACTGAGTTAATTCCTGACCCTTATACATCCCGAGACATATATTTTAAAAAACACTGGAAGGATCATCATGAATACAGTAAATAACTTGAGAATACATGTTGTGAAAGCAAATCCAAGAATCACTACGAGTATGAGGTACCTAAAGGCCAATACTGGTATAAATAGAGAATGTGGATACAAATGACCATGTTTGTAAACAGTTAAGAAAAATACTATCACTTGAAACTTTTCCCACTTCTCCCAGGAAAGGAGCTAGGAATTCATCTTTTCTGTACTATCTTTTTAAAACCCTGCTAACTGTTGTTACAGGGCTTGTCTAATCACAATGGCGAGAACTATAGGACTTAGGGCCGTGCAGCCTGCAATTAAGCAACAGCATGTTGGAATTAACAGAACACTGCTGTGATGACCTGGATAAAGTCCAAAAGTGGAAGAGGGAGTGAGTTATGTTGTTAAAATCTCAGACAGTTCTGTTAATGTTCCAGGTATTGTGAACCCAAAAGCCTTTCCCCCTTCTTTTGACTCCATGTATGCATTTCTCTGGTGTGGCATAAAAGTGGTTCATTAATTTGTGCAACATCGCCATCTGCTGTCTAGAATTGATAAGAACTACTTTAGAGAATCTCGCAGCGAAATCCTTGTCATAAAGGCAGCAAATGTAGAGGAAATCTATCTGTGATATTACATTACTAAATGACAGAATATACATCCAAGTGAAGAGAATGACCAAATTTATGGGTTAAAATTTCTTTAGACGTTTAAAGGTGAAGTTTTGTACCATTGGTCTAATAAGATTCGCTTTCATATTTCTGACTGATGCCTTTCCTCTTTTTATAAGCAATGAAAGCTACTTAGTTGGTAATAGTACTCAGCTCTGTCAAAATGTCAAAGAAGAAAATAGAATAGGCAAATATTTTTTTAAAATATATTTTATTGATTTATTACAGAGAGGAAGAGAGAGGGATAGAGAGTTAGAAACATCGATGAGAGAGAGTCATCGACAGGCTGCCTCTTGCACACCCCCTACTGGAGGTGTGCCCACAACCAAGGTACATGCCCTTGACCGGAATCAAACCCGGGACCCTTGAGTCCGCAGGCTGACGCTCTATCCACTGAGCCAAACTGGTTTCGGCAGAATAGGCAAATATTTTATTTTGCTGATGTTTTTGTTCCCAAAAGTGATTTATGAAACTAGAATTCTTTCATGTCTTTCTTTTATTCATGCCAAAACTATCAACGAGAACATTTGTGTTTTTGGTATAAAGTTTATTGGTATTACACCTTGATGTTATCAAAAAAGTAAATTTATTTGCCTTCCATAAAAGGCTAGTAGTGCAAGAGCAAATTAGATTTTAAAATGAGGATGTTATCTGGTTTCCTCTGTTCTTGAGCCTATTTTTCACCAGGGTGTATAAAATATAGATGAGAGTGATGCGGTTTAAGTCAGCTTTGTTATACCATTGTCATAAGCCATTTTTCTGTTTGTTTAATGGAAAGAAGCATGTGGGATTTATACAGATTCACTTGTGTTGGATGGGGATTTTTGTGTAAATTTTCTCAAATAAAGGCCAGCAGAAACCATTGTAGGTGTATTTTTATGTTGTTACTCTTGAGTACCTCTTTGTTTGGATTGGCAGTAATTCCTCCACATTCCTTAGTTTTAACATATGGCAAATTATATGTGATAAAGAAAAAAAGATAATTATCCATAATTTACTCCAGATAGATAAAGTTTATGTGAGCTAGCAAAAGTTTATTATATTTTATATATAAATTGTAAATGTATCTGAAAATAATTATACACCTTCTGAAAGACCAAATAGGGTTCTGAAAGCCAGGCATTCTTCTGTAGTTTCTCTGTTTTAGAAACTGCTACTGGAATTATTCTTTTAGAGCAGGAGTGTGGAACCTTTATTCTGCCAAGGGCCATTTGGATTTTTAAAAATATATTTTTCTTTATTTTAGAGAGGAAGAAAGAGGAAAAAAGAGAAACATCAATGATGAGAAAGAGTCATTGATCAGCTGCCTCCTGCAAACCAGGCAGGTGCCCTGACCAGAAATCAAACTGACCTCCTGGTTCATAGGTTGACACATAACCACTGAGCTTACACTGACTGGGCCCATTTGAATATAACATCATTTGAGGGCCATACAAAATTATCAATGTGAAAACTAGCCCGATCAAATTAAATATTTGATTAACTGGATGTGAAAAAGGTTTAGTTAAGTGCAAGCACAGTGTAAGCAGACCCATCATTAAAAAGAATGGTACACTCATAGAACAGAAACATTGGATCTAGGTTAAAAGAGACAGAAGACTCCTTTACTCTCCTAGTCAGACCCAATGTGGAGCGTAGGGTACTTTATAAGGAATGTTGACGACTGTAAAGAGGTGAGGAATGTGAAAGGATTAGTTAGTCCTCACCCCATTATACCAATTTTCTTCTAATTTGCTGTCACTATCACCTACTTAAAAACCTGGAAGTGCTTCCTGGTCTCTCACATTTACCTCTAATCCCTCCTGACTGATCACAAAGTTTAAATGTTCCTTGGATGGATTTCTTCAACCTGGACCTCTCGTCACCTCCACTCCACACTGATAGCACCTTAGTGCCGCTTCTTTTCTTAGAAGATAAATTGCCTCTTAGTTGGTCTTCCTGCCTCCAGTCTTTGTTTTTCTCATTATCATCAGAGTTCTTTGTAAAATATAACTTGGATCTTATGTAAGGTGATCATATTGTGTATTGTCTGAGCTGGGCACTTGAGCAGAAGAAGGCTCTTTTATGCTGGGGCAAGGGGAAAGGTATGAATTGGGACTTGCCCAGCAACTAGGGACATAGAGTCATACTCATCATATACTTCCTTTAAAATCTCCTAATTTTCCATTGCCCACAGGAAAAGCCAAACTATAAAACCTGAGGCCTATCTCTTCTACCTCACATGCACCCTGTCCTCCGGCCAGGTAACCTTTCTCTTAGCCCCAACACATCCTGCTCTGTGAGGAGACCTGGAGCCACATTGCTGGGTCTGACTCCTAGCTCCCCTTACTGTAACATGGAGCAGGCTACTAAACCTCTCGGTATCTCAGTTCCTTCTGGAGAACGGGAATAATAGGATT